AGTTAGTGTTGAATTTTGAAGAGTAGGATTGTGGAGTTGGGTACGGAGTAGATGTAAGTTTATCGTTCCTCTATTATATCTAGCTTTCTTCAAGCCTCAGTTCATTTTCTTCAGTAAAATAAAGACTTGGAAGAACCTAACCTGCAAAGGGTTTAGTTATTTGTGTTCTTTCTTCACCCAACCCATAATATTATATAAATCTGTGAATTTTCAGTTAAATGTATTTACTGAGTAGCAGAATGTATCATAAGTTAACCTAGAAGATGGAAAAAGGAAGTGAATCAAGTGAGTGAGTTTAGGCGTTTTGTTTCTAATATAAGGTTGGACTAACAAGGAACAACTGGTGGGTTACACATAAAAACCACTCTGTGGCCGTTTCCGTCTCTCTCCGTCCCTTCCATTTTCAATCATTTTTTTGTTGCCATAGAACATTGTAGATAGCCTTTGCCTTTGCCTTTGCCTTTGCCTTTGCCTTTTGCCTTTGCCTAGTGTAATTCTCCAGAACCCACCGCCATGGAGGAGGACGGTTCAGGAAGCGAATTCCACGACTGGGAGGTTCTCCATGACTACGAGTATGACCACACTTTCCCCCAAGTTCACTCCAATTTTCCTGATTCGAACTCGAGGTTCTTTCACGTAATTGAAGGCGATTCAGGCTCTAGAACCACAATCTGGTTTGATTACTTCTCTCTTCGTGATCACCAAAACGATGCAAAGACTTCCCTGGAGTCTACTGTAAACGACGCGTGTTTGGTCGAGTTGGAAAACCTAAACTCCAACGATACTAATTCGGAGAATCGGAATTCTCGGAGAAGCACGAGTGAACTAGGGTCCGAGTCGGGCGATGGCCTTTTGGACGACCAATCTCATGCGAATGGTTTTGCAGATATTACGAAAAGCGTGACAGGTTTCGAAGAAATTGCGACGGACGTTGAGAATTTGGAGAGACGGGAGTCTGATGATGGTAAATTTAGTGGCTCTGCTTTTGTTGCTAGAGATGAACCGCTTTCTGCGAAGGACTTGTGCAGCCCAATGGAATTCGAAGGTTCTGGTGAAGAAATTGAGAGCCAGGATGAGGTTTTGGATTCTAATTCGATTGGAAATGAGTCAGTTTCCCTGATATTTGGAGATTGTGGAAAAGAGAGCGATCATATAGACAGTGTAAATGATGTTTTGAACAAGGATTTGGGTGGGGAAGATGGAGAATCAAGCGAGAAAATAGATGTGGGAACAGAAGAAGTGAAAGTGGAGGCAAAATCTGGTGAGATAGACCCCCAGAGGAGGAGGGTTGTGTGGTGGAAGGTTCCTTTTCAGGTGTTGAGGTACTTCTTTCTAAAGGCGAGCCCTGCCTGGTCTTTCTCTGTGGCTGTTGCTTTCATGGGAATGGTGATATTGGGGCGTAGGTTGTACAAGATGAAGAGGAAAACTACCAGCCTTCAGTTGAAGATTGCTGTGGATGATAAGGTTAGTTATTGATTATCATATTCCTAATTTGGTGAAGCTCTTTCAATTGGCAGTCTCTCTCTCTCTTATCTTTTTAAAAAGTAATCTTTCTGGATATAACTGTTAGTCGACATTATCTATATCCATTGAATAGCGTACTAAGTTCAAATTTGAGCAACATAATTTGTTTTCGAGTATGTCGTACGTTCTTGTGAATGAGATGGTGCTAAGTTATCTAAAACAGGAGAGCTCTCCCCTCAAAGAACTGAAGGCAGAAACTTATATTAACCCCACTAAACCCTTCTCTGTTTGTGCCAACTCTGAGACATCTTACACTTGTGTTCATTGTTCAACTTTTCTAATTTCCTTTTGTGGGTCAGCTCTATTAGAAACTTTTTTCTTGGAAGAACAATATTTATAACCTTTGATTGACAGTGGGACGAAACTGTGATCCATTATAAATTCTCTCTATTAGATGTGATTTTTTGTGTTGAAATTGATGTGGACTATCTTGATTATCTGGGTTGCCAGATGGAAACTTTCAGAATGCAGTGAGAATAGTTAGTTATATTATAGGCTTCAGCCATTTGTAACTTTCCCATTATGTATGGGTGATTTGAGGGGAAAATTGGGGTAGAATGCAGCAACAGATGATGGTTTTGGGTTTGGCATACAAATCCATTTCGTTCTCTGCATTACTTGATTGAATGTAGATAAAAACTTATACTGGTGCACATCTATCTTTTTGTAGAAGATATCGCAATTTGCAGATCGGGCTGCACGATTGAATGAAGCCTTCTCGATGGTGAGACGGGTGCCTGAGGTGAGAGCTTCATGGACGGGTGCAGGTGCAAATTCTTGGCCTGCCATGAGTATGAGGTGAAGTTTTTTTTTCCAACTATTTGGAGATGTTGGAGGTCTGCATGTGTATCATAAGGTAAGAGATGCAAGTGTGAGTGAAGTTGATGGGAAGCTTTTTATGCGATGCTTTGTTTGTAAATGAATATGTAAGTCTCTTCCACTAGACTTGATTTTGGACCTTAGTTTGACTCTCATTCCCATACTCTCAAGATTATGTTTAAATAGCTTAGATTTTTGGTTGATGAAGATTTATAGATTCTCGAGATGGAGATGTATAATAGAACTTGTGTACGATCTCTAACCTCTCTCTCTCTCTCGCATTCTTTTCGTATTTCGTCGAGAATCTATCTGAAAGCTTGATAGGTGCTGCTATTTGGAATGTTACCTTTCAGCAAGATTAGCAACATATATGGCAACATGAGGTTAAAGAAGCATAACAAGAAGCTCCTTGACGATGATGTGATGAAGGTATTGAGTTGAAATTTAATTACGTTTACAGATATCATTACTCTCCCAATTATTGTGTTTTTGTTCATGTTTTGGCTGTACTGGAACTTTTGCAACATTCACAGCTATGGCACCTAACTTGTAGAGGTAGTTAATTTCATTAAAAAAAAAAAAAAAAAAGTGGAAGTCAATCTTACCAAAAAGTTTCCACTAGTTATGATGTGTTCGTCAGAAATGCTTCTGTTAGCTATTGGAGATTTTTGAGAGAGATTAAAAATTCAGTTAGTTAACAGAGTAATTAATAAAAAGAGATTTTTATTATTGGTACAATTGGGGTATCATCATGATGAGACTTCTGATACATGGCCCCCACTTAATCTCAATGCGCCTTTAACGCATTCCGTGAATAAAATGAGTTCCACCAGGGAGGCAGCATCATGACTGGAGTGCGCCCTCTCATTTGCAGGGCGGCAGCGGCGGGCCACACAAGCAATCATTCCCTAAAAACGACGTCGCCGGGAACTTCGTCGCCGGGATCGGGCCGCACAGATGATTATAGCTGACGTTCAATTTCTCAAGCCCCACCACCGCACCGGGGACCTTACCGGACACTTGATTTCTGGACAAATCCAAGTACTTCAACCTCTTTACTATCCTCAAATCTTGCAGCTTAAAATTCAACTTGTTTCCGGAGCCCCAAAATCCCACCAAGTAATCCGTCCGGTTCAACAATCCCACCGGACTGCCCCTAATCTCGTTCTCCGATAGATCGATGTAATCGTAGAAGTAGGTTTGGGTCGGCTTCCAATCCTCCATCTTCATTTTGATCCCACATTTCGCCAATTTCAGAGAGTATATTATCGGCGACGACGTTACCCATTTCGGAATTTTCCCCAGGTGAAACTTGTTGTACGACAAATCCAGCGACTCGATTCCTTTCACGAACAACTCCGGGAACGGATCCACCAGCGAATTCCGAGACAGATCGAGGTTGAATATTTTCGTCAAATTCCTGAAGCTTTTTGGCACCACTCCAGAGAAGTGATTGGAGGAGAGATCGAGGGTATCCAGTGCCCTAAAAGTGCCGAGAAAATCAGGGATGTTCCCTGTTAGCAAATTGTGCCCTATCTGTAAGTAACTGAGCTTCGCGGCCAGAGATGAAATTGAGCGCGGAATTTTGCCGGTGAGTTTATTGTGGGAAAGACTGAGAATCCTCAACTCCGGAAATGAGCCCCAAAAATCCGGAAGGGGACCGGCGAATCGATTTCGTTCGAGGCTGAGGAACGTCAGGCTTTTAAGCTGCCGGATTCCAATGGGTATGGAGCCAGTAAGAAGGTTGCTACCGAGTTTGAGCTGAGTCAAGCGAGTCAATTTGGAAATTGAACTCGGAATCGGACCGGTGAACCTGTTACCTTCAAGACTGAGTGCCTCGAGTTGGCTCATATTTCCGATAGCGGCTGGCAATTGGCCTGAAAGCTTGTTGTTTTCAATGTAGATGAAGAGGAGTTTGGGGAGTTTGAAGAGTGAAGGCGGAAAAGGACCTGAAATGTTTCGAAGGTTGACAAGGTAGATGGAATCCAAGTAAGGGAGGTTGGAGAGAGAGTTGGAGATGGTGCCGGAGAGGAAGGCGTTGGGGTGGTCGAGTTGGCCATAGAGGCTGAGACTGGTGACTCGGTTGGGGACCGAGCAAGTGACACCGGCCCAAGTGCAGCAGTCGACGGCGGACTTCCAAGAGCTTAAAAGGCCAGAGGGGTCGGCAGTAATGGCGGATTTAAAAGCAAGAAGGGCATTTCGGTCGCCGACATGGCAGGCGGAGGCGAGGTTGAAAATGAAGATGAAGAGGAGCGGAAAGGGTAAGCGGAAAAGAGAGGAGTTCATTATTGGGTTTGGGGTTATTAGGAGATGAAGCTGAACGTGGGAATTGGGAAAATAAAGAGGCGCATTTCTTGAAGTTGAAGGTGGCGAACGTGGTGCGTCGGCCACTGTTTTTGACTCTTAGGAAGAATTTTAATAAATAAATTCATTTTTCCAGAAAATTGAAGACGCCATAAATGCTTCATACAGGCGGAAGGGAAGATTTGGAACTCACAGCTGCCATGCGATCCTTATGACTCGACACACGGACCACCTGCGAAAGTTCCAGAGTATCCTGCAGTCGCGCGCGCGTGTTAAGTAAATGAATGTTGGAACTTCAAACTGGAGGAAATTAGGCTGTAATAAACCCCATTAAAAAAACAACATTCGAGATCTACTTGTCTCCTCAATTTTTAATAAAGTACACATTTGCTACAATGCTATCAAAGGAGAGAGTGCATTTTTTAGATGGGATCACTATCACCACAACACACAAATAATACATTAGTGTCCAAAAATGGGTGCAAACAATAATGAAGGAAAACAAAATCTTAAGAAATGAATAGAGAAATGTGAGAAGAAATACATTGGTGAATTTCAAGGATACTTGGAGTCGGGGCAGGACCGATCTCTAGGAAGCCAAAGGAACTTTGATTTCTATGTACACGCCAGCCTTGTTTCCAAGTTGCAAAGGTAAATCTACCGTTCTCCCTGATAGTGGACGAGTAGAAACGTATGAATATGAGAAGACTGGGTACCCAAACTCTGGTGTGCAAAAAATACTGATGAAGATAAGAAAATGTCAAATAGTATAAACTCAGTCCAACTAAGCTAATAGTATTTTGAACCCGAAGACGGCGGTGGGGCAGGGGGCATCCGGTTCGGAGTACGGCGACTGTTAGAGCTTGAACGTGAGTTCGAATCCCCATTTTGATCTGAATCGCTATAACGCCGACTATGACCATTGGATGAAGATCTATTATAGTTGGCAGGACCATTAGCTGCTGAATCAAAGGCAGATTTCCAATCTTCACCTGATGATGGAACACTCGTTCTCGGACTGCTTTCTGCAAAGACAAACATTTGTTTATTAAAACGGTAGCTCAATGGAAACTAAGCTACAAGTCAAGCTGAATGGAATCAGGTCTTTGTAAACTTTACAAAGGAAACGGCATGAATGAAAGTTTCTAATTGCATACCTGCGCCGTTGTCAGACCAGTTGGCTGCTGCAGCCGCTCGGTTGTCATGTACGCTGAGTTCACGTAGCAATTTAGAGAGAAGGGATGATTGTTTTTGGTAGACCTCTCTCTTATTCTTTACATTGTGATCCTCGAGAAGAAGCTCCTCAATCCTTGGTGTGCTTTGAGCACTACCGAAAAAGAACAAAAATTATTTTCTAAATCATTAACATGTTAGGTCTGATCATAGAACTGCCACAATCATACAAAAGATTAACAAATGTCGCAAACAATAAGCAGAAGTGGATTCAACCTGATCGAACTATACAACTGGTTTAGCATATCTTCCTTGGCTTTCTCAACTTGGCAGAGCACAACTGCCTGCTCAGTTCAATCAATCAACCAGCAAGGTATAAAATTAAAACCCATTATATGGCATAAGAGGGGCGTACTGATCAACAGTGTAAGTGATTTTTCTGAAGCTTACTTTTGGGACATTGGCAGCCAAACTGTTCAAAACAGCTTCAACATAACCACGTACTTCTTGGGACATCCACCGTAGTTCTTCTTCAGGATCAACAGGTTTTCTAGCCATCATATCCTTAATCAAGTGAAATCAAGTTAATAAGTAATCGCTTGTTTTTCAAAATTAACAGTTACATGATGTATAATAAGAAAAAATGGATGATGTCAACTATAAACAAGATTTTGTGAAGCTAAAAATTGGTAGCATGATGGGTTCACAGAACACAGAAGAAGTCGTGATCGTCCAAAAACTTGCTACAAAGAAACGAATGCAAGTTGGTAACTCACAAGAGAACCATCTGAAAAACTCTGCCGCATGGGAAGACCACTATCAGGACCCTTCATCTGTCCTCTGGAAGGTTGAATAACATTACCTATCTTATTCATCCATTCAACCTTGTCAGCCATACTTTCTGCCTTCAAGAGAACAGCGTTGTGTGCTGAAACGAGAAAAACGAACCAGTTGTAACACAACAAGTTAACATAGACGTAATTGCAATGGATATTCTCCAAGGAAAGGCAGGCTCTTTGGGACAAAATTGCGATTAGTAAGCATGGATCAATACCCATTAGAGAGTTCTATAGGACGTTTCACCTTTCAACTTCCCCTCTTGTATTTCTCTCTTAGGGTGAAAAAGTATTTATCTAAATAGAACAAAATGTGGCATAACAAGATAGAAGGATCCGCTGCCCATTGCCAAACCACTGGAACAATTAACAGATAACAAACCTTTAAGAACAGTTTTATATGCAACCTTGCTCGTGATCTTGAACATAAGACCTTTTCCAGAATCTGGTCCATTAGATTTCTTATCCTTCGAACCCTTTGAAGGAGCTTCTTCCTCATCTGAAGCCTCTTCAACATTACATTCCTGCAAAATTATTTATAAGAGAGTCAACATGGCAACTCAACCATAATTTGGCAGCTTTGGCTAGAAAGAAATTATAGTTTTCAAGGACGTAGGAAAAGATTATAGGCATGGTCAAAGGGGACTTCCCTTTTTGTACATATAATTCGTTCTATGATAACTATAACTAGGAAGAACTTTTGTAACTTGGCTAGATTTGCCTTTGCTAATGAATTCCTGACTCTGCCCTGTTTGTTATGCTCTTTCATTTCATTAATAAAAGTTGAAATATATGTACACATTATGATATCCTAAAAAATAATGTTATCAGCAAAAGATAGCATAGTTTGAATATTTTATTATAAAAGGTGATTTTCTAAGACAGTTTTAGTAAAGACAACCACAACCATAACAAAAGAAAGGCATACAAATGAAAGAAAAGAAAGGCATACAAATGAAAGAAAACAAAGGCATATAAAAAACCAAACCCACAGAAGGTTTACAGAACAATAACAAGACAAATGTGTCACCAACGCCCAAAGAGAAAGATAGAGGGACCACAAATCACTAGAGTCTCTTTCAAACTCTCTATAGGTCCTATTGATTATATATATATATCTCAAACTCTCTATAGGCCCTTTTGATTATATATATATATATTCTTTTATTATTATTATTATTTTTAATATAAGTGAGTATTTGAACTAGTTTGTACATACCTTGACTATTCACACGAGACAACTGTCTAACCCTAATGCATTTGTTTGTTAAGGCAAATTATAGGATATTAAATTCTAGGTAGATGACCATCATGGCTTGAACTCATTCCCTCTAAACCTTTTATTATTTACGTGGTTCTTCTTGATCACTAGCACATATTTTAGGTCGGGAGAAAATAGGTTTAAAATTTCGAACTTCAATAGTTATATGCACATGTGCTCATTGAACAGTGAGAGCTCAACGAAAATTGGAGTTTCGCAACCAAAAAATGTGTTAGTAAAGTTTGTGTCATTTGAAAATTAACATAATCACAACTAGAAGAACTTGACAATCTCTATACCACTTCTTCATACCTCCAAAGTGATCACACCACGGAAATGCCTCTCCTCTTGCTTCTTTGTGTAACCAAGCTGAATAAGAAAGGACAAATTGTAAGAACTATTCTTCTAGCACAGGTTAGATGAAGAAAGGACAGAAAATCAAGTAATGGTTACACAAGAAAGTACACGGATTCCCTTTTGTAATTCAGCTTAGATTACAAATTAGACATACTAATGCAGGAAGAGATCTAAAAACGTAGTATAGAATACATCTACAAGCATCAAGCACATCTTGAATATTCAACGCAATTCCGAAGTGGTTGAGTACCCACAAAATTTCTCAAACGTGAAGCAACAGAATGAGAGATAAAAGTAGAAGATGAAGAACCTAATATAGTACTAGCACATCTTTATCAGAATATCAGGACATTCCTTTGCAGATAAATCAATTCTTTTTAAAACAAGAAACAAAGCTTTTAATTGAAGAAATGAAAATAGACTAATATTCAAAAGATCCAAACTCCTCCAAAGGATTGAAAAAAAAACAGATTAAAAGAGGAAATGAAAGCATGTGCAGATTAATAAAACATTATCACCTAACTTGTTCAGCTACTGCGTAGTAAGCATAACGAGAGGGAAATTGTTATTGGAACTTTATATTGATACGACTTGCCTCGTACTTGATGATAATATTCCATAAACTACTACTACACGCACATTTATTTATTTTTAATAATAATATATATAAACACATGTCCAACAGAATGATGAAAAAGAGAAATCCACCATGAACATTCTTTAGCCATCAGACTTTCACATAATAGCAAATGGAAATGATCGAACACAATGACACAATACCTTTCCCGTCTTTTCATTTAGAACAAACCATCTTCTACTCCATCCATTTGTTTTAGCGCTTTTCTTCAACAGAAAACCTAAAATATTTGAAAGTTCCAAAGTTAACTGGGGTAGTCTTAGTAACCAACACAGACACCGTTACAAGAACCAGATTCCAATATTCTAGTCATCCAAAAATGTAAACCTTCAACATCCAATCCAATTCTTAGATTTTGAATTCAAACTTACAATGAAAAGGATGAAAAGTTTATCCAGACAAAAGATTATCTGACAGACACTATTCAAATGAGAAGTAAACGATTATCTGACAGAGACTATTCCAACAAGAAGCTATATATTCAAAAAGAGCTTTTAAGGCTAACGGCCAACAAAATGTTCACCACAGGATAAGATGTCGTGATGGATTAAGAAAATTACAAGTTAACGAGCATCAGTTGCACAAGAGAGCAAACAGAGAAGTCTACTTACAATTTGAAAAACTGCTGTACACAGATACATACCTGCTGTTATTTCCCCTTCTGCACCAGCAGTCTTCAAACTAGAAGTTTCCTGTACTTCTTTGTCCTCTTTGCCTGGTTTTTCCTTCATCGATTTCAGGCTTCCACTTGTTTGAGGACTAGTTGCCTGACCCAAAATAATATCAAAGAGAAAGAAAAAGGAAAAAGAAATAAGATGCTTATGGAAAGCACGGCGTGAAAAAGTGATAGAAAATCAAATGTTATATCAATTTTCTGTCACTTGAATCATACAAGAACAGATACCCTGTTTAATATTGCTTGCTCTGCCTCGTGACCTTTCTTTGATGATTTGTGTTTCACCTCCTCCTCTCGACGCTGCCTCTCCATCCTAACTCATGCAGAGTACACTTATAAAAATGTTATAAGGAAAATAAATGGCTATAAAATGAACTTTCAACGTTAAATTTGAACTATGTGAATTGAGGAAAAACTAGGGGAAGGTTGGTTAGTTATCCACTCTTTTAATCTCAATAACATTACTGTTTACTAAGTGAAGAAATTAATAAACAAGCTAAATAACATATTAAAAGTACCTCCTTTGTACCAATCGAATAAAATGTTGTGGAGGCACAAAAGCTCTCTCCATGTCAACAAGTGCAACTACCATTTTCTTCGCTTCGTTCTTAAATCCATCTAATGCAGCACTCGCAATGGCCACAATCTTCAAGAAAGTTGATAAAATTTTAAATTTTTAGAGCCTCTAGGCCACAACGATTTGACACTGTCTTGATCATGCTACATGCATGTACCATTTTCTCTTCTCGAGAAATAGGGAGTAATATGACATTAGAAACTAGAGAAATTTGTTAGTGATACCTCTCTTTTGAAAGGCGGGTATCTTCCCAGACCTGGTGTAGAATTTGCAGCAGCAGAAACTATATCCACTAGAACACGATGGACCTTTTTTTTATCAGCCAAGCAAGAACTCCATAAGTAGCAGATTAAATAAACTAAAAGATGAAGTACATAATGATGAGTAGGTGCCTTTTTACATATTTGGCAAGGTAAACGAAAACAAATTTGTACATTTGTTTTCAAGGAAAAAGACTGTTAATCTCAGGTGAGCAATTCAATCACTATAAACAATGAAAGTGCAAAAAAGATGACAGTGATACAAACTTTAAACATGCAAATATCTAAAATTTTGCACTAGACATAAGAATTGAACTTCGTCTTTAGAGGGAAAAGGACCAACCAAATGAAGAAACAAAGCCCAGCAAGTTTTACCTCGTCAACACAGAGACGTGATGGTTCTTTTGCAAGCTCTAAAACACCTTTTATTAGAGATCGCAAACCCTTTTCAGGGGATATCAAATATGGTTGATAACCATCAGCTTCTAACACAATCTGTTTCAAAATAATCAAAAGACAATAAGTAAAAGTTGCAAAACATAGAGATAATCTGAACGCAAAACAAAAAATTCAACGTCACAAGAACAGAGTGGTGAGAAGAGGAGGCATAAAAAACGTACCCTTTTCACATTGTTAATGTCAAAATGTCTGTCGATTGGGAGCTGCTTGATTCTATTTGGAAAGTTTCCCTCAAAACTAGCAACAATTTTCCAACCAGCACCCTAAAATTGAAAATTATCGTGAGCAACTGAAACCCACAAACCAAAGGAATTGTTGCACCTCTTTGATGTATGAACCGGAATAATCATTCAGACTCCACCGTTACTTTATATTATAAGAATACGTTTATAGGTTATCAACCAGACTAAATGAAAGGAAGAAACTGACAACTATATTGGACTAGAAATGACACTAAGCTTGGGATTTCCTTTTTCTCTTTCTTTAATTAACAAAATTTTTGGATGAAACACAGCCAAATGAAGCAAAAACAGAAAAGGAAAAGATTAATTATTGAGATATTTTTAAAATTAGAAATATTTTCCATGAATACTTTTATAAATAATACAAACTACTTTCAACAATTTCTATTAAGCATTTAATTTAATTTTAATTTTAATTCAAGAAGGTAAGGAGTATCTTACCAGCTTCTTACTGCATATAAAAAACTTATAAAAAAATGCACAGTTCAGCGTTCCGTTACTTAAGAGAGACAAGTACTAAACATAGAAATTTTAATTTTAATTTTAATTTTAATTGATTAAGTTCGGTAGTCTGAAAATGTTTTAATTAAATAAAGTTCGCTTTTATGCGTGAAGTTAAACTAATTACATCCTAGTTTCCAAGTTCATTCAGAACGGGAAGTCTGATGTTTTTCCACCTATTTTCTTGTCCGTTAACATGACCCTTTAGGGACTAGGAAAATTCGCATCACATGGACACACAAAAAAAGGTTAATATTGCCAATTGTGTTAAGTTGGAGCTGCAACAAGAATGAAATTAACATGTATATTAATAAAATAGCCAGATATGGGTCTCCACCAGTGAAATTAAAGAGAACCAAGTATAAAACCATATTATCACTCACCTCACCAGTTGCAATATGCTGAAGAAACTTATCCTCAAATTCACGGCAGAGTTGCAAGGCTACAGCTCTTGTCCCTTCAGCACTTTCCGACGTTTGATCACCAAACTTTGATAACTCATCTTGAACAGTCTGAGACTTTCCTTGTAACCTAGCATATAGTGATTAAGAAGTGAACAAAATCTAGGAAGCCAGTTAACAGAGAAGTACACAAAAATCCCATGGAGGAAGATCAGATACAAATTATATCATACATTTATTGATCTGTCGCTCACATTCTTCAACTTAATAACCCAAGACTACATCGTCAAATTTTAAACTAAATATTATTAGTCACAAAATTATTTTTTCAATATTATTTTTATTTTTATTGTTATTGTTATTGATATTTTGAAAAAGACCCAACAAAGTTGAAACTTACAAAAGTCAATTACAAGCGAAGCCACCTTTAGACATGCAAACCTTACCAAGATCCAAAATTCCTTATAGCTTCAAAAGATTCTGAGTTGGATGTTCGTTCTTTAATATAAAAACAGAAAATCATTGACATAAAATAATAAATACAAAGTAATATGACCTAGTCATGCAACTGGAATTTGATCAAATTTAATGGGAAAATTTTGACATTACTTACATCGATATGATTGATTGCATATATAAGCAATTTAAAAGCTTGTGGTTAAAGAATACATTTGTAAGGTAGCACCTAAAAGAATTACCCTGATAATAGGTTGGGAAGTCTGAGTTTAATACGGTTCCGTATTTGATGAGCCAAAGCGTCCACCAAAGCAATTCTTCCCAGTTTACTCTGTGGGGCTCCAGTCAGTATGGATTTCAGACTTTCGCCCTCGGCCCTCCAGGCAGTTTCCAAAGAATTTTCAGAGCCAACAGCTCCAGACTGTGCAGAAGCAATTGAAACAGATTGACCAATTAAAGCAATCCACGGTATATCTGAAGCCCTTGAAGGTCCTTGATTTAATAATAGAGCCTGAACTGCAGCCAGCGATTTCTGATCCGAAGCAGCTTGATCTATTTTACTAATTATCCCAATAGTTCTAGTCCCTGCAATCAACATGATATTCTTCATTTTAACAACAAAATAATTAACAACAAAGTTGGAGATATTTCATTCAGAGGTAGTTAAGACCCAACCACAAAAAAATGTTAGTTGACGTACAAATAAAAAGGAGAAAGAAAAATAGAGTCTGGAATGACAAAGGTGCATCCAGAAAAACAGGTAGCTAACTCTCACATGCCTACATTCCAAACCAATAGTTACACGATTTATGACAGCTACAGGCCTAAAGAAAATAAAATTATCCCCTCCCTGCCCTATAATGTATATGCAATCAAAACTACATATACGTTTTAATATGCCCTGGTAATGAAATTTACCTTCACTGTCATATTCCTTTGCCAGTCTGAGTGCACGAGTTGAAGCAATCTCAACTGCTTGAGAGGCAGGCACAATGACTAGCAAAATGGCATCATTGTGCTCAGCATATTCACTAATCTACAAAATAATAACTATCAATCACTCAAATTGCTTGATCAAACAGAAAAGTAACCAAAACCAATAGTGACCCAGGGGCATTTTGTTTCAGAATTGTTATATCACCAATCAAAATGTGTATTGCCTTCCAATGATCACACATGGTATATTGTAGGAGGTATTTCACCGATTTATCATTTTATGATATATCATTACTTAAAAATTAATAAATAACATTTTCAACACTAGTTGGGAGTAAGAAGAGCTCTCTGACTTACCTAATTTATTAACTTAAATATATACTATTGTTTACAAGTTACCCATTAGCTTTAAATGAGCCTCTGTCCAATAATTGCATTTCCTAGCCTTTGAGCTTAGCTTGGCACTGTCCAAGCCAAACGATTTTTTTTTTTTTTTTCTTTTTCACTTTGTTTCATTCTTTGGCAGTTTTCCCTCCAATAAATGACTCCCTCTTAAACAGAAAACTCAAGGAAGGAAAATCACCTTTATGCTATAACAAGTTCCCTAAGAATTTCTCATCCTCCAAGAACATTAGTGAATTATTTTTCATTTAATGATTCTCCCTTTTTTCCTAAAAACAATAAGCAAGTGAGGCATATGCTTAATAACTCTAATCATAAATAATGCAAATTGTTTTCTAATCAATTTTTAAAAATCACAGGATCTAGGAAAATTTAATAATGAAGTCAACCAAAAAAAGAGAGAGAGAGAGAGAGAGAGAATATTGTTAAGATTGCAACATTTAAGAAAATGATCAAATTATATCCACTTTTTCTTATTCCATCAGAAGTGGCAGAATCTTATTGAAAGGCTTTTCAGGACATTCCTCTGGAGAGGCAGCAAAGATGGTTCTGGTTTTGATACTCTAAAATGGGTCACGAGTAAAAAGGCAATTATCAAAGGAGGCCTTGGGATCATCGATTTTCTCAGATAAGCAATCTAGTTTCAACTTGATTATGGAATTTACTACCTACTCAGCTCTTTTGTGGTGTAAATACAAGAATGCTGAACCACAGACCCATATTATAAAAAACTGCCCTTTATCTGCTGCTTTTTGGAACAAGATGTTACAAACTTTGGGTGGTAATACAGCTTTTTTGGGGGAAATTCTCTCCTTTCTCTCCTAAATCCTAACGTATCATCCTTTCAGGAATGATAAGAAGATTATTAGGGAAAATTTCATTGGAGAAGTTGGAAGGAGTGCAACGCTCGATTTTCTCAGATAAGCACTCTAGTTTCAACTTGATTATGGAATTGACTACCTACTCAGCTCATTAATACTCGAGATTGGCTACGATACCATGGTTCTATCCCTCCCCAAATTGCTGTCCTCTTTATTACAAGAATGCTGAATCACAGATCCTTATTATCAAAAATGCCCTTTAGCTGCTGCTTTTTGGAACATTTGATGTTAGAAACTTTGGGAGGTAATACAGCTTTTCCAGGGGAAACTCTCTCCTTTCTCTCCTATGTCCTCACTTATCATCCTTTCAAGAATGATATGAAGATTCTTTGGGAAAATTTCATTGGAGCATTTGGAAGGAGTGGAACGCTCGATTTTCTCAGATAAGCAAGCAGAAGAGTTTTTTGTAATTTTCCTTTATAGAACCTCATCTATTATTTTGTAATCATCACATCATTAATGAAACGTGTTCCTACTTGAATTACAGAAAAAGAAAGATAATACTTGAGTTAACTTTATAATTAAATTTTCCACATTTGACATTCAGTGTAACTTTCTTTTAAAAAAAAACCATAGTTTATGTATTTGATTTTAAAGTTTTACCACTATCCCCCAGCCTTAGGGTTGCACCCTTGGAAATTAATAACAAAATTTATCAAAGAATTCATTCTATCGCTAAATGTACAAAGGAAGGAATAAGAAATAAAGAGGATCAATAAATGACTACTACTCAAATGGTAATTTGTGCTTACCATTGATTCACTCACGCTCCGCTGATCAAGCCCAGGTAAATCAATCAATTTCAATGGAGGTGCTGAGAGAACGAGTTGTAAACTCAATTAAATAATTTAAACTAAAGCATCAAAACATAGGGACTAAATGGAAACTATACTCAAGACATAGGGACTAAAAATGTATTTCTTCCACCATTCAAACTTTGTGGAAGTGAGAAGAATAACTGTTATACTGTTATACTATAATGCATACGCCAGTATCCATCACTGATCTACCATATGTGGAAGTACTTCCTAACTACTGCTGATCTTATTTCTGCTCGGAACTTGTACACTGTTTATGTGATACTCTCTCACGAAGAGCACATGAAAATACAACCTTGTTAAATTAGAGAAATTGTCAGCCTCTAATCATGGACTCAGAGTTACCTGTACTAGTGCGAAGCTTCAAATAGATTTCATCCCGGCTCTTGCCAGAGGAACCTTTACTTAATCTATCCTGTAGAGAGTGCCGCAAAGCACCTGCATAAATACAGGAAAAATGAGGAAGAAAACATAAGCAGAGAGATGTGGATTAGCTGAACATGCTATACAAACAAAAAAAGAATTTGAATGCTGAAGAATTACCACCAATTACTATCAGTTTACAAAATGTTAAATGGTCATTTTCTAGAACATGAAAGAGGCAAAAGACAGGATGAAAGATATGTCACCAATTGACATTAATAACTTAAAGAGAAGCACTATTTTTTATTAAAACAAATTCAATTAGAAAATAATGTTTATAGAAAAGTAAGAAAGGGAATTAATATAACAGTTAAATTTTGTAGAAATACTTAACCATCCATCAAGCATCAGCCCAAAGTTGTAACGCCTGGATAAAAGTAAGGAGAGTATCCATTAAAGTCACTTACTTGCAGAAACTTGCTGAGACTTATTGTCAATCTGCAAGATAATTGATTTGCTGCTCAATGAGCTATCCCTCTGTAAATCAATGCTTATGGGAGCTCTAGTAGCACCATTTTCACCAGTTGGCTGGCCAAAAAAAAAAAAGGATACAAACTCATAAAGTGACGGTCCTAATGTTGACAATTGCGTAGCAGTATATTTAGAAACTCAAATGTAGGCTATGAGAATATTTGAAATCCAACTTACCAAAACAGGATGTCCAATCAAACTATTTAAAACAGCAGATTTACCAGCACCCTGAAAAAAGAAAAAAAAAATCAGGATCCATACTATTCCTTAGATGGTAAGGTGCTAGAGTTTTCATGATTGTGCATTAACACTTCGGTAGCAAAAAGCAATAAAAACCGTAGGCTTCTTATTTTTCCGTCCCTTTCCAATTAATTATTCAGAAGTTCAGTTAAGAAGGTACTGGATTTCTCCTTCCAATGTTTAAAACAGCAGAAAATCACCATAAAATTTATTAATATTGAGATTATAACACTATAACCATAGAATCATGATAAAGCGACCACAGTATCCACGGTCAATTCAGTTTCAAGTGATGGTTGAAACTCCATGCCAAATTTATTTCCATATTTATGTGAACTGCTTCAGCACTACCACTCATTCATCGACTGAATATTTGCTTTATTCTTCAGGATGTTTCGGACTCTATACTTATATGCCTTCGACCAGACAAAAAAACTTAGAGACATATAGAATGGTCCAGAAACAAGTACATCGCAAGTGACCTGATCTCTAAAGTATAACACTACCGAGCAACCTGGTAGTCAATCCAAGTTTATCGAAGCAGAGGTAATTTCATCGCTTCTCAAAGTGGCCTGGCAAACTAGAAATGCTGGTGCCGTGAAACATATCAACGCGTTTTCAATAGCTACATGGTCGTTACACAATAAGTAGATCGATATATCAATCCATCATCCCAATCTCATGGAAACAGATACAAACGTCCAATGGCCTTGCAATAATGCAGGTGTTCCAATCACCAGGAAGTAGTACACCTCCTTCCAATTATAATCATACGTCAATCTCAATTACTGAAGCGGCACGTTTCTAAAAATTTAATGAGTTTCGGAATTTCTAAGATTCAATTCAGATATGATCTGACACTTCAAGTGAAATTTACGTGAATTCAATGAACAACGCATTGGAAAATGGTAAAGAGATGCCGAAACTAGAAAATGTAATTCATAACGAATCCGAACGGATGAAAACTTACCACATTCCCCAAGGCCACGACGTTGAGGAAAGTGGAAGGCCTGCGAGAGGAAGCAGTGGAGGTGGAAGTTTCATCGACGTCCTCATCGGCAAGCAAAGCCGCAGCTTGCCGCATCGAGTCCGACAGCTGCGCCAACTCCTCGATAGCCTCCATTGAATCCATTGTAGGATGAGAAATGAGGGACAGAAGGTGATAACACAGTTGGATCTAACTCAAAGGTGGATCGATTCAATTGGAATCCCGTGACAATATAGATCTCTGAGCACAATTCATCCAGAAAATTAGAGAAAAAAAAAACGAGGATATTACTGTTGCTCCTTTCCCTTGGTTCGAAAATCAGAGAAAATCGAAGAGAGTTCCCTCTCAACTTTCTCCACTATCTTATAATTCTAACAATAATTTGATCGCTTCTCAGTTTTCCGTCGTTATTATGGTCGTTTTTTATTTTATTTTTTTTTCACCCTTTAATTAAATTTTATTTTACGTATTGCCCAATTCCCATGAGATTAGCATAACTCTTAGGATTCTTTTTTTCTTTTCTTTTCTTTTTCCTTTTCCTTATCCTTTTCCGGACAAGATCTCTGCGGCTCTTCACAAATAAATTTTAATTTTAATTTTTAATTAATATCTGGATTGTGTCTGTAAATCAATAATTGTTTAATTTTAAAAATTATAATGAATTTATTTTTGTTCCTTCGGTTGGTGAAATGTTGAGGCCAAGAATACTACGGATTTGGATGTCTAAAACAGAGCCAATCCCTCCTTCCCTTTCCTATTTCACACTTAAATCTTCTTGTTTAAGCTTTCTAAGAGAATATCCTTTTTACTAAATATTATAAAATTAATAAATAATGCCACATAATTAAAAATTTACACCTTAATTATGGGGAGGTTATTTTATTCTTTTTGTTACTCAACCTTACTCAATCATCATTTAGAATTATTTTTTAAATTTTGAAGACTAAGTTGTTACTTTTTAAATTTAAATAACAAATTTACCCAATCAAATAAAATTAATTACTCAACTCATACTCTTTTATATTTACATCTCTAGCCGCTCCATTGACATTCCCAATCGTACCTTTGCCAATTTCTTCGACTTCAGTCCCCTTCCTCTCTAATTTCAACATCAATACCTCCTACAACATTTGGTTTCGTCTCTACACTCCTAGATCTGAATCAATAACATCTAAATCTTGGTCGTTGATCATATTTGTTCACGGCGGTAGCTTCGTATTCATGGCTTTCCATTCCAAGCTCTTTGACGATCTTTGTCGTAGGCTTGCTTGCTAGATCTCAACCATCAACATCTTTGTCAATTACCGTCTCATTCCTAAGCATCAACGGTTAGGTTATGGAGCCTATGTTTACTTATAACTGATATCAAAGCTGGGAGAGATTCGAACAAGATATGTGAAGATGGAAACTTAAAAATTGGAATCGAGAAGTTTGATGGAACCAATTTTGATTTTTTGAAGATGCAGATTGAAGATATTTCTGGTACATATGATTCACCATCAGAGCTTGGAGAAATTCATCATCGTATGTACAAAAATATCTTCATGAACCATTGTTTGAGGTGAAGCCATATTCCATGTCTAAAGAGAAGGAAAAGCTCAATAATTATTAAGTTCTAGAGTTAATTTGGTTGACATTGTCAAAAAAACATGGTGCTCAACATTATCAGGGATAAGACAACGTCAGATTTGTTGTTGAAAGCAGTGTTAAATATATATGAAAATCATCCGCTATGAATAAAGTATATTTGTGTTCAATCTACACACGTTTGATAGTAGATATATTACAAATAACATTGTTCGAAGGGAAAGAAGTAAATCGAAGGACGAAACAAATATGGCCTATCAAAATAAAAGAATGAAACAACATTTATTAAATTATAAATAAATAATGAACTCAAACAACATGAATATAACTCAGTCTAACAATAAACTAAATAAACTATTTAGATTAAATTAGTTTGGATTATTTAGTAGATTAATTCAAACTTTTATTAATTTATTTTTAAATATTTAAGTATTTTTAACTCAATTTCAATATATAATTTCATAAAATTTTATTTTATAATTTATTTTAAAGAAAAAAAGAAAGAAAACGAAAGCCCCTCTTTTACACTCATTCGGGATAACCCCAAAAGAAAAAGAACCGTAAAACAATTTGCTTTTTCTTCTCTCCAACTTGGTGGCACTTGTCGCCTTCACAAAGAATACCACATTCTTTTGAAATAAAGAATGGAGTATAGCTGAAGCTTCCAGTTTGATAACCTAATTAATTTCACATGAAAGTGAAACTATAGTATTTGAAGATTATTCATTTACATAAAATACCCCAATTGATTGGCCAACTATAAGAAGGGAATAGGACGCCGCCGAGAGAGTAGAGTTTCAGAGGTCACGATAATATTAATCATACCTTCAGCATGCCTTCCACTGGCGACACTCAATCTCCTTCCTCATCTCCCAACCTTCCATCCAAGCGTAGGCTTGCCGATCTATTATCTTCCGTCCTTTTCCGACATGCTTTCCGATCAGATTTTACCGTCAACCGCGGTTTCCTCCGCCTACTCGACCGTAAAGTACCTCCTTCTTCCACCACTCGCGGCGTCGCCTCCTTCGACACCACACTCGATTCTTCATCCTCCGACCTCTGGCTTCGTGTTTATAATCCTCTCACATGTTCCGAGTCCGATCGCATGCCTGTTATCATATACTTCCACGGTGGAGGCTTTGTATTCGGCTCCGCCGACTCTCAGAAGATCGACTCGTTCTCTCGCGATTTTGCTCGCGAAATCGGAGCCATTGTCGTCTCCGTCAACTACCGCCTCGCGCCGGAGCACCGATTTCCGAGTCCATACGACGACGGATTTCGCGTTCTGAAGGCAATCGACGAAGGATCGATCTCCAAAAGTCTTCCAGAAAATGCTGATATAAGCAGCTGTTTCATCGCCGGCGAAAGCGCCGGAGGAAACATCGTGCATCACGTGACGGTGAGAGCGGCGGAATATGAGTTCAAGAGGCTTAAGATCGCAGGTATGATTGCCATACAGCCATTTTTGGGAGGAGAAGAGCGGACAAAATCAGAGATTCGATTTGGGAAAGGCGGTGGACTGACTTTGGAAATGACGGATTGGTATTGGAAGGCGTTTCTACCGATCGGTTCGAGCCGGGATCACCCGGGCGCTAACGTGGTTCGGTCCGATGTTTCGGGGCTGAAATTACCACCGGCGCTTGTTGTGAATGGGGGCTTGGATTTGTTAAGCGATCGGATCAAAGAGTACTGTGAGTGGCTGGAGAAATCGGGTAAAGAGGTTCGGGTTGTGGAGTATCCGAATGGGATTCATGGGTTTAGTTGGTTTTCAGATCTTCCGGAATATTCCATGCTGATGCAAGACGCCAGAGAATTCACCAGAAGGGTCTTGTTAAATTAAATCCGAATTAGTTAAATGAAATAAAAAAACAACCAAGAAACTTCCTGTTTTTGTTTTGTTTTCTTTTTTTTTTTTTCTTCTTGTTTCATACAAGTGGCGTGCAAATTTCAGGGAACGAAGTCTGTAGTACTTTCAGGAAGGCCAACAAAATGGATGTGTGGTAGTTTGTGAAACAATATTGTAGTCACGAAACATGATTAGAAGAATTATAAATTGTGTGATGCCTACCAATATTTTGGGATTATAATACTCAGATAAAACACGACTATCAACATACATAAACAGGATAGAAATCAAAGATGAAAAATTCAATGGATAATGCGCTCAAAGCATTCTTTTTCTATCTTTAAAATTTTGATTTCTAGTATAATCTTTATGGAATCATATTTTTGGTTAAAATTTATAGAATAGTATTAATAAAAATGGAAAAATCATGATTGTCAAGTTAAAGAACTCAACTAGTGTCTAATAGTCATCCAATTGTAATTTCTAACTATAACCTTTTTTTTTTTCATCCTTATAATTTTGTTTTCACCTAAAATCTTGTACAAATAGGTTTTTGTTCTAAAATGGACTCTTAAGAAAGCCTTGTGAACAACCAAGCTTCACATCATCTTCTAATATCTTGCACAAAAAAATCTGTAAATATAATACTAAGTAGATGGTGAAAGTTAATTTTAATATTTGAACAAGAGAGAGATAGCACACATATAATCTCTTTCTATAATAAACGATATATATATATATATATATATATATATAACGGATTTAGTCTGGCCAATTTACTTATAATTTCTTAAACTCCTACCTTTCTTTTCCTATATCTTTTCCTTCCTAATACCTCTCTTTTTGGAACAAGACAAATAGGGAGTGCCCTCTTTTTACCCTATTTCTAATACAATACAATATAACACTATTTTTAATTTTATTTTATAAAAAGACTGCATTAAAGTGTTGCACAAGAAGACTATTTTGGCTTTATGTATTATTATTTTTTGGACATTTGATACTTTAAAAGAGTAATTAAAGGCAATCATATAGCTTGAGCTAAACTCTCTCTTTGAAAGGCATGAGATGAAAATGTGAAAATGAATGAAAAGTGAAATGTTTTGCAAAAAAGAAAAAAAAATGTCGAAATATGACACAATTCTATGATACCAATAATGAAAGGCAATCATATGGCTTAACTTGAACCCTCTCTCCAAGGAACATTATTAGATGTGGAGATGGAGAAAAAGTGAAAAGTTTTTAATCAATATGGAATCATCTTTTATGTTATTTTAGATGATAGATAGTATAAATGTAAATAAATAAAATGTGTTTTTATTAAAAGATATATAATCTAACAGGACTGTCGGGCTTACCAAAAAAATTAAAGATGGCCGAGTTGGTCTAAGGCGCTAGATTAAGGTTCTAGTCCAAAAGGGCGTGGGTTCAAATCCCACTCTCAACAAATTACTACTACCTTGACAAGGTTACATTCTTAATATTTCTGTTTTCTAATTACATATTGTTATTTATTTCCATAAAATTTAATTAACATGAACTTGTGCACCAATATTTTTTTCGTCCCCCACTCTTACTTGCCTCTTTTTGGCCACTTTTTGATGAAGTATATGTAACCTTTTTATTTGCTCTCAGTTAATTGCTAGAACAGATAGGAATTTAATCATGCAAGATCGGAAGTTGAGATTTGTACCTGATGAGACGAAAATCCTTTTGCTTCCAGATTTCTACACTCCCTTGGGTGAATGATGAAACTTCCTAAGCAGAACACTGCAAAAACGTCAAAATGTATCCTTCCTGTTAAATCACTGCCCAAAAGCTTATTACTCATTTAATCTATCACCAAAGTTCAATATTAATAATGAGATCGTTAATATTGCAGGATTTTAAACTAAATCATCATTGCTTCCAAAACTATGATAAACTAAAGCAGTTAATATATTCCCCATACATATTTACTATAACCCTGTCAAGATGATCCCTCTTACAACATTGTATTAAAATAAAAAGATGGAAGGGTCGAAAGAGAAGAAGAAAGGTTGATGTGCATAATTTCACTTGACAGCTTTGGTATTTTGTATCAAATGAAATTAGAGAGAGATGAAAATGGAAGCAGACTATTTTTACGGCAAAATAAAACTGATAAGATAACTATACTTACCGGTGATTGCAACTAGGAATAAACGTGAACGCAGTAATAGAGTGGAGAGAACATGTGCGGCGGATTTGGCATCTGGCTCCCTGACTCGCAAGAAGAAGCGGGTGAGTCTTAGATATGCAGTTCAATTCTGGCAAATATGCGAGTACTGATGCAAATATGCCAGTAGGTACTTTGAAGGTAGGAATTTCAAGCAAATACCTTCCCCTAATATGCCTGGATCCACGGTTCCCTTAGCTGCACCATTCAATAGGCTCTGAAAGGCTGTCAACTAGGCTTACAAGAATTTGATACGTTGGTGTGCAATAGTGGAAGTGAGCTGTATTATCCATGGCAAGATACAGCAGCAGATACAGATTATGAATCACACATCGACTACAGATGGGCAGCAGAGAATGTCAGTTCGACAGTGACAAGGCTTGCTAAGTCGGAAGGTGGGAACAAGGATGACATAACGGAACATTTAGGTGTATAGAGTTCAAGGTGCTGCTCCTTTAGTGTGAAATCAACTACCAATGTAAGAATCAAAATATGCTTTATTGTACTGACTCGAAAAAATGGAATTTGTGGCATAGGACTGCATATATCTCATGAGCCTTACTCGATCATCCATTCTCAATCTGAACTGCAAAACTACTTATAAGCAAAACTATTTTGATGAAAACCATTATACATATTGTAGAGAATAGGGGGATAGTTGGTCAAGAACTGCCTCCAACCGTATCAGCTGATGCTTCCGTTTCACTGGCTCGCTTAGCCGTTTCAAGTTTACCCTGAAATAAATTCTAATCATTTATTTTGGAGTAACAGTAAGTAAGGGAATGATCAATCTGCAGAAGAGACAATGGAAAAATGGTTTAACGATCAAAACATTTTCGGCCTCATCTTGTTATAAATAAATTGACAGGCCCAAGCACAATCTTTTAGCTCCAAATTACTTGTTTGGTGATTGAGGACTAAGCATAAAAAATGAACACTTCGACTATCTTCGCTCCAACAATTAGAGTGATGATTTACTAAGGGGTGGTTTTATTGACAAGATCGAGGCCCTAATATTTATCTCTCAAGATTGTTTGGTTGATTCCCATTCAAAGCAAATACAATACGGACTAAGTACCTAAACGATGATAAAAGTGAAAAGATCGTGATCAATGAAAAATATTATTGAAACGATTATCTAGAGCCAAACTAAGTATATGCCATAAGAATGCCATTAAGAGCAATGCCATTAAGAGCGCAACATAAGATGAAACTTGAGCATAAAATTTCTAATGGACTTCCATGATGACATTTGAAATCCAGAAACCTTCTACTTAGAACCTGAATAGGAAAAAACTTTCATATATGAGCTGTAGAATTTAAGCTACGCATACTCTAAATATCTAGTTTCTATATACAGATATTGGATTAAAGTCACGGTAAGAATCACTTGAATGCTTGTTTACTAAATCCCTTCAAATCCATGTACAAAATCTAGCAGTTACAGCTGTTGGAGCAGTCTATGGATAACCATGTAATCTCATGAGTGCAAAGAAACGGCCGCTGAAATAAACCATAATTACTAATATGATAAGAGAAGTAGTTGAGAGGCGGAATCCTACTTCTATGTGAATCATGTTAGCATTTACCCAATCCTATAACAAAGGTTGCTTAATAGACTAGATTTCAGAACAGGAATAACGGATTCAGAATATTGAAATTGGACTGATGTCCTCAGCAACTTTGGTATAACAAGTACTATCATGGTTCATACCACTGTTAACACATCACGCACCACCGACAGAACCAGAAATTCCAAATTGCATAGTTCAATAACCTCTTCTCAATACTTTTGGCTCCTAACCTCTTCTCAATATTTTACTAAATGCACAAGGAAAAACGTTCGGATGCAGAAATAAGGAACTAGAAGACTATAAGTAGAGACTTGACCAGAAGTGAAATCCCCACGGTTTGAGTAGTAAGAAAGTACATATGCTCTTCGACAGAGTTCTTCAAAGCTTGATCCTCCCCGTCTGAGTAAAGTTTGATACAGAATCAATCCAAATTAGTGTTACTAACCCACAGGAACACGAAAAAATATATTTCTGTAAGTTAAAACTTGGATCTAGTCCTCTGGAGATGGAGGAGTCGGTACGTACCATTCATTTGTAAGCGCAAGATCTTCGAGTACTGCAAATACTCTTCCATCCTCGATAGTTCACGGAGCAAGAAGCTGTAACCTGTAATTTAGTTCAAGTTTATGTTCAGTGCCGAGACACATCAAGCGGTAAATGTGACTGAAAACGCAGAGCGGAAGCCAAGAAAGAGAGGCATGAGGCGCGCGCTACTCTCCGATAAGATCAATTTGGAGGGAAAAAGTTGTGACTTCACCGTTTGGTAATTGATATTTAATAACTCAGTTACATGCATAATAGGATCTCAACTTTTGCCTAATAATTTAATATATATATTAACCTTTTTAGAAAATTGAATATTTGACCTATCTATTAAACACAAGGTTAAAGTGGATGATATGAAATATAAATAAATTATGTATGTCTATATGCTGATGCAAAAAATAATTATTTTTTTTCTAAAGCTATTTTTGAAAATTTGTTCTTATTTTTTTAAATATAATACCAATAAACATTTTTTTATTTTTTATTATTTTTTAAAGTAAAAAATATATATATCTTAAAAGTTTAACAATTTAAAACTATTTTTGAGATAAAAATGCCTACAATTTTGATTAATTTCGCTAAAATTAAATAAGAGTATCTATAAACCAGGGCGGTATGCAAATAACTGGTTGCCCCCTAATCTGGTCGCCGGTGGTCCTCCGAAGAATTTTCGCTCTCCTCTGGACTTCCGAGAAGGGGAAGGAATCGTAGTGTCGAAAGAGAGGTTAATATTCTCTCATGATTGCTCGACCAAACATAGTTGAAAGGCAATCCATCACGAAAAAGAATTGACGTTTTTTTTCCCGTTAGATATATAGAGCTTTCCCAGAAATTTCTGTATTCGATTCGATTTTCTGTTTCGATTGAGGCTCTGAGGCGAAACAAGGATTTCTGAAAAGTTTTTAATTTAGTCGAAGGCGAAGATGGCAACCGTAGGACATACCCGCCCGACCGGTTGGTTTAACCAGAAGATCGTCGATCCCCTCCTCCAAATCCTCCAGAGGTTCTTCCTCCACTGCGCATTTGAACTGTGAAATATTTTATTTCTCATTGAGCAGTGATTTTTTTATATGAATTCGAGGAATTCTGTTCTTCATTTGGATTAATTTGGCTTGGGAATTTCTGAGGATCTGTTATTGCGTGTCATTTTACAGTTCGTCTTTCTTTGGTAGCATATTTTGATTTCAAGATTTTGAATATTGAATGGGAAGCATATCTCTAGGAAGAAACATTAGAACTGCTGGTTTAATTGATTTCAAGATTGTTCCCCCATTTTTCTTTTCATGTATTCTTGGAGTTGTTTTTGCTAATTCTTTCTCAATGAGACAAAATTTCCAAAGTTCTTTTAATTCTCTTATGATAATCCTTGAATACATTACTAAAACTTCTTTTTATCTCTGTTCTTGGTTTTGTTGTTAAAGGGGCGCAGAGCCGAAGCAACTGGCATTCTCTGCAGCTCTTGGCATAACCCTGGGATTGTTTCCCATATGCGGTATATACACATTTACAATACACAGACTAATCATTTTTGACTGTTTATGTGGATAGTTCTAACTTCCAAGTAAAATTATGTTGAAATAATTCGACATCTTATTTTATGTTTCATTAACACAGGGGTGACTGTTTTTCTATGCGGGCTTGCAATTGCATTTCTTGGATCTCTTTGTCATGCTCCCACAGTGATGCTTGCTAATTTTGTTGCTACTCCTCTAGAATTGAGGTACTTATCGTATGCCTTCCCTAATTTACATTACTAGAATTGCTCATTATTTGTATATGGATGCGTTTCTTGAGTCAGAGTTCTATTGATTTTAATTTTTGCTCTGAAGTCTGGTGGTGCCTTTCTTGCGTTTTGGTGAAGCCCTCTCCGGTAGACCTAGTTTCCCACTTACACCTGATGCCTTGAAGAAAGTTTTTAGTGGCCAAGCTTCACATGAAGTTCTATCGAGTATTGCTCATGTGGTAAAGTTTCTTCTACTTGCTAATATCAGTGTTGATGTTTTGAATGTTGATGGGAGTATTGGCTCATTTAGGGAATGATCATGGGTTTAGAAGTAAGGAATACATCTCCATTGGTATGAGGTTTTTTGGGGAAACAAAAGCAAAACCATGAGAGCTTATACTCAAAGTGAACAATATCATACCATTGTGCAGGGTCTAAAATGGTATTTGAGTCATGCCCTTATCTTAGCCATGTCAATAGAATTCTCAAATGTCGAGCAAGGAATTTGTGAGCCTCGAAGGTGTAGTAAAAAATGATTCAAGTGTCGATCAAAGGGTGTACTTTGTTCAAGGACTTTAGAGAAGGAGTCGAGCCTCGATTAAGGGAGGCCGTTCGAGGGCTCCATAAGAAGCCCCAAGGGAGGCTTTATAGTGTACTTTGTTTGAGGAGAGGATCATTAGGAAGGAGTCACACGTTGGCTAATTTAGGAAATGATCATGGGTTTAGAAGTAACAATGATCATGGGTTTAGAAGTAACAATGATCATGGGTTTAGAAGTAACAATGATCATGGGTTTAGAAGTAACAATGATCATGGGTTTAGAAGTAACAATGGGTTTAGAAGTAACAATGATCATGGGTTTAGAAGTAACAATGATCATGGGTTTAGAAGTAACCAATACATCTCCATTGGTGAGAGGCCTTTTGGAGAAACTAAAGTAAAGCCATTAGAGCTTATGCTCAAAGTGGACAATATCATACTTTTGTGGAGGGTTGTGATTCTTAACCTTTTGTACATGGTTGTTTTGTTGAGGAGCTTTTGCTCAATGTGGACAATATCATACTATTGTGGAGGGTTGTGATTCCTAACCTTTTGTACATTGTTGTTTTGTTGAGTTGCTTGATTCGGATGAGTAAACTGGATTATTTTTTTAAAAATCAATATTGGCAGTTGTTGGGATGGGCTGTTGCTGCGCCCTTGATTCTGGGGATTGGATATTTGTTGTTTTTGCCATGCTTCAAGATTTTAGTTCGCAAGTTCAGCCCTGCAGCTTCACCTCATTCACAATCTGACGTCAAAATGAAGACGAGGGATGACTGATTTAATAAGAATCCCAGAAATGGCGCATCTCCTCCTCTAAACACTGCCCACTTGCTTTTAACATGGTAACCTTCTTTGTATATATGTATTACCATGGCCTTCAGTTGCTTCTTCGCTTTGTATGAACACAGTTTTGTGGATCAAAGTTTGATCAAAATATCATGAAAGCTTGCAGGATGCAACTGTGATTGCAAGTCCCTTATTCATTGCGTTGTTGTTTTAGTGAACGTAAATTGTTGTAGCTTATGCCTTCGCCAAATAAAGCTTTGAAATTTCCAAATTCTGAAACCGAGGGGCCAACATGAGATAATTTCATCCTTAACTTAAATGGACCACAACGTCTTAATGGTATTTGGTGGTATAATAAATAATATGTTCCCAAGATTTGTAAGAAACGTAATTTTGATTCTTTTTAAAACCATTTTTCTTTTGGCTATCTTGATACCACATTTATGATGGCTTCCTTTAGAAAGTTCAACTCTTATCCCTATGAGCCTTATCTATCCCCGCATGTGTATATATATATATATATATTGTTATTCAATTAAATGTCATAATAAAATTTGCTATTCAAAATATTATATCAAACTCATTATAGGGTGAACATGATTTCTCTTGGGAAATAGATACAATAATTAAGTTGCATATCTGTGTAAAAAAAGTGAATATGATAATTTTTATATAAAGAAAAAAGGATATGATAATTACAGTTTCTTCAATAATAATAATTATAGTGATAAAAATTCAATAAATTTGAATATGATTGAGCTCATAGGAATGCATTCAAATTCAAAAGATTAAAATTAGAGTGTGAAATAATTGAGTATTCATTTTAAACTAAAAGCCACTTTGATCTTTATGCCCTCCTTACCGTCGAAGCAAAACAGGAATTCTTTCTTGGTTCTTACGTTGGCTCACACAAATTAAAACGCTACAAGCTCAACAAATATTGATTTTGCATAAATNAAAAAAAAAAAAAAAAAAAAAAGACAGAAAAGGCGTGCGTGTTTCCATATTCCCTCGAAAAGGAAAAAAAAAAAAAAAAAAATCCTCGCCGATTTTTTTCTTCAGCCCAAGTCCTCCAGCCAGCGGGGAAGTCAAAAATGAGAAAGCTACCGATTTGTCCAAATTGTAAACTTTCTCTTCGTAGTTTCCTCTCCGGTATATTTCCTGTTCATTATCTATCAGATTCTGAATGATTCGGAGACCTATTTTGGTGGAGAGAAATTCGCGATCTCTCTCTCGGTGGTGGAAATTTGCTAGAGGTGATTTTTTTTTTTTTTTTTTCCCGCTTGTGGTGTACTGAATGCTTAGTTAGAATCTCTCAAGCAGTTCCGTTGCTAGAGTTATGGAATTTGACGGTCTGGCTGTTTATTTGTTCAATCTTGAGCTGAACTTACTTGATCGTTGACTACTTACTGGCGTGATTTTTTTTTTAGTTTGATTATTTGCTATTTGAGTCGGTCTCTGTTAATCTCTTTCCATTTTACTTTTGTATTATTTCTTATTTGGAACTCTTCGTGCATTAGAAGACGATCTGTATTATCGATTGTGCTCAACTTGTTTTCCGTGTCTTAATCTTCTAATGGCAGAATATTCAACTTAGGAGAGCAGGTTGTGTTCTTCTGAATTCATAGAAAGAAGTGAAACTCCATCGGCTCTTCTTCAATTGCTTTGGATCTGTTACCGGTAATTTACTTGCAATTTGTTCGGTTTCTGGAAGGATTAGCCAAAATTACTTGCTATCTTGTCGCTCGAAAAGCCAGACTGATGAATTTCAGATACTTTGAAAAGAAAGGTGGATAGTGAAAGGTGTTTGTTTAGCCTTGATTTCTAGGAGTTGCTTCGGTGCTGCTGAATTTCTGGTAATCTTCCATTCTTCAAATGAATCCGGATCATAGCAAAATTTACTACTGTTCTGTTTCAAGGGGCGAACGTATGCTCTATGTGTATAGTAATGGTGACCAGGAGATTGAGAATTTGGCTGATTTATGCTTGAAAAGTGCCCCTCCCTTTCACAAGTGGTATTTTGAGACATTGGGTAAAAAAGCTTATGGGTTCTTGATGAAAGAAGGGTATATTTATTTTGCAATTGCTGATGAAGTTATTGGTAATCAGGCTCTTCTTCAGTTTCTAGAGCAGTTGAGAGATGAATTTATAAAGGTAGCAAGGAAGGGTTCACGAGGGAGTTTCTCAACTGTGAACTTCATTAGTCTGCAGGAACAGTTACTGCCTGCAATTCGTAAATTAATCACCTCTCTTGAGAATGTCTCCAATAGCGGTAAGGATTGGATGGCTGAAACCCCTTCCTCGAACAATGGCCTATCTCCATCTCCGAGTAATGTGAATGGCCAAGTTGACAGTTTGGCTTCCACGAAAGCCCCTCTGTTGGGGAAGTTGAGCAAACCAGAGAAGAAAAAGGGAAAGGACCATGTGATTACAATGAGAGGTATTGAGATGGAGGAGCAAAGAAAGTCTACAGATAGAGGTTTGAAGGTTGATTCGGTTTCGTTGGAATCTGGTAATCAGGGTGGATCGGGGTCTTCAATTCCAGTGGAGAAAGACATCAATCCATTGAGGAGATCAAGCTCAAGCATCCGGAGAAGGTGGTGGCGTCACGTGAGAATTGCACTTGCTGTTGATGCTGCTGTGTGTCTGATATTGTTTGTCATTTGGTTGATTATCTGTAATGGAATTTCTTGTGTCCGCTGAGAGTTTATCTATTTGTACATGGACATGGAGCTTGAAAGATGGCAATTGGGGAGATTAGCAAGGGAGATATATTACCATTGGATCAAGTGTCAGTGCTGTTAATGTGGAGAAAGTATTTCTGAAGGCCTTGACTGAGTTCACACTTCTGAAAAGGTTACAGCAGAATCAAAAGTTGTACGTATATGTATACGAATGGTTAATAGGTATGAGAATTCTTGATATACTTATTTTATTTTAGGATCTCACTTACGGATTTCTGCTGCTTACTAGTTACTTCTGCTGCGATATCTGTTTTGGGCTGGTAATAGATAATGATATTTCACTTGTTAAGGTGAACCTGCCTTGCTTTTACCTCACCTCAATTGTGTGTGGAAGGATATGATAAAAGTGATTTTATGTTTTCCTGTCTCTTTTTTTCTCTTGAGTTCAACACTTTCCGAACGAGAGCTTTGAGCTTTCGATTTTCTAGTCAAGAGTATATATTTTTGTGCTAGATTGACAATGTTTACCTTTAATAATATTAATCATTAGTAATTGTATCTACAAACATCCCAAATCTTTCTAGATAGGTGGCTTTGATCATGTTCATTCCCATGCCATACTACTAATTTGGTATCTATCACTTTGGAGATTCAAGATGGTGAAGGGTCTTGATTTGATATTATTGTACTTCCCTCTTGGTTCATTTGATGTGGCTATGGGTTCTTCCTTCTGAACTTCCAACAAAAAAGGTCGGATGGACAGAGAAGCTTGAATCCATTGATATTATGTGGGAGTCCAGGAATGTTTTTTAGTCAAGTGGTCCTTTTCTCTTTCAATATATTTTTTAGCGAAACTATTTGGCATTCCAAATAAATATATTAATTGTTGTGATTTTAAGGAAAAAAAAAAACCTTTTATTTTGATAGTACATTGTTTAAATGTTTTAGTAAACAAGCAACTCATTCTATATTTTATTATTTATAGTGACAAAGTCTAAAGAAAGAAAAATTGCCACTAAAATAACATAAAATAAAAAAATACGAGGGTTTCCATTATAATTTAACCTGATATTTCTAATGATGTGTGCACTAACACAAAATGGTAATACCCAATTATCATTCTAAATTAAATAATGGAAGCATTCACAAATTTTGTTTAATTAGAAGTCGCTTAAATTTATTAGAGTAAACAAAAATTGATGGGATTATGATTATTTCAGAATTTGTAGGCCTCAAATAGTTTGGACTTCCTTCTTAAACAATTTACATCTTGTGGTATAGTGTAAGCCACGCATAATGGTCATAGAGGCAACTGATCATCGATATTATGAGTGATCTTCCATCAAGCTATGATTGTATTGTTTTATATAGTTCATGATGATTTTTTTGTTAAGTGTTTTACTTCTCGATGAATAAATTTGAATTCACATCATTTTTTTATATTTTATTTAAAAATATAGTTTATACATGTACATACTTATAACTCGAGTTGTCTTTATCAATTAAGACTTTCCATTTAAAAAGCCGTCCATGCAGAAATTAGACTTTTGATTAAAAAATTATTAATTATTTAAAATGCTACATGAATTTAATTCATATTATTATCAGTTTGCAAATGCAATTAGAGGTATAAATTGACTATTCAATGGTAAGTAAGGAGTATACATATATTTTGAAAAAAAAATCTAAACTGAGGAAAAAGGAAAAGAAGAAAAGGAAGATCGTTGGAAAGTAAATAGAAGGCAGAGGCCTTTCTCGCGGGTGCTGTGCTTGCTAACTGAGGAATTGAAGAAATCACCGACATCCAGTTGTTTCGGTTGGTTTAGATTAATTTCGGAATTCTGAGGCGTAACTGAGGAATTGAAGAACAAAGCGCCAAAGCGGCTCTGCCGGCTCCGGTCCTCGAACCCCTCTCTGATCTGCAAAACCCTTTGGTTTCTACCGGATCCTTCCATCTCTTCCATCTTCTCAAAACGTATGCGAGGTGTCGGGTCAGTGTGAATTTAGCTACTATTTTAAAGTGAAATGCAATTCTGCATTTGTACTTAAATTGATGCGTACCCTCTGTGATCTCGACGGTCATTTTCTTATCTGGTGAATGATTAAGTGATCGCTAATTGTGAATGTTAGAAGCTCAGGCTTTGTATTTCCATGACCCCATTGGTTTGTGGTGAATCTAGATCGTGCTGGCGGACTGTCTGTTAAGCTTTCTTGGCCAATTCGGAAGGGATGGCCGATACTGCGATTGACCATGTGGTATGGTAAATTAATCTCCGTTCTAGTTTATCTTACGAACTTTCCGGACAATTATTCTCATTCAACCAAGTTAGTACGTAAACTCGTAAAGTGAGGGTGTTGGTATCTGCTACAAGATCTTTCAAAAGTGAAGATTATGAATGTATCTACATTTAATCATGAATATTGAGCTGCGTTTATGTTAACTAAAAACAAGCTCGATTACAATTCAGTCTTGGACAGTGAATTTATTAAATATTTTGTTATGTTTCTTTACGTA